GTCTGTTCTGTGATTCTGAAGAGCCATGCTCCAAAAAGCTAAGCTTCCACGTGAAACAATGAATTGCATTTCTAGCCCTTCCGAATGGCAGCAAAATAACTGACTGTAGACTGATGCAGTGGTGTCTTCCTGAGTCTGCAGAGAGCCTCAAACAGTAGCTCTAAGAGAGCTGTGAACTGACCCATACACTTTAGTGGGACTCTGAAACCTAACAAGGACAATTTAAATGTTAATGTCTTACACTATTTCAGTGCTTACTATGGTAGCAGAAACATATAGTGCATGTGTTTATTCTACAACCTCAAACTGCCTGCCACCCCGCCCAGGTGTCCCTTGTCCAGCTGCCAAGACATCCAGCTTATTCTACCTAGTCACTTCTATAGGGTAGGTCGGCCTTTTCCAGATGAGGATCTGTGGCATATTGAAAATTCAGAGGCACAGTAAAATAAATGGAATTTAATATCAAAATAAGTCACACGAATTACTGCAACTGAGGGTATTATTCATTTCTATATTTAATTTAGTATAAGCCTTCAGTTTAGAATTCCCCCAAAAGCTGCCGCTGAATTTTCAGAGACCAGGGGTTCTTGTGGCAGAATTCAGTTCCGCTTGCTGACAAGACACAGGTCCTTGATTATAGAACCAGAGAAACGATGGGCTGGAAGGGACCTCGAGAAATCATTAAGTCCAGCCCCTTATGCCTAGGCAGGACCACATAAACCTAGACCACCCCTGACAAGTGTTTGTCCAACCCTGTTCTTAAAAACATCCAATGATGGAGATTCCACAACCTCCCTTGGAAGCCTATTCCAGAGCTTAACTCCCCTTAGAGTTAAAAAGTATTTCCTAATATCTAACCTAAATCTCCCAAGTTGCAGATTAAGCCCATTACTTCTTGTCCTGCCTTCATTGGGCATGGAAAACAATTGATCCCCATCCTTATAACAGTCCTGAACATATTTGGAGACTTTTATCAGGGTCCTCCTCCGTCTTCTTTTCTCAAGACTAAACGGTCTCAGTTTTTTTAACCTTTCCTCATTGGTCAAGTTTTCTAAACATTCTTTTTTTTAATCGTTTGTGTTGCTCTCCTCTGGATTCTCTCCAATTTGTCCACATCTTTTCTGATCACTATTGGCAGATACTTTTGCAGGGACATAGGCTTATTCTTCTTCCATATCTTGCCCATCTCTAAGTGCTGTACTGTGAGCCAAAACAGATTCCCTTTCGTTGTGTGGGAACACTGGCCCTGCCACCGTAGATCAGACCCAAGATCCATCTAACCCAGTATTTTGTCTCCAAGAATGGCTGGAGGAAGATGCTTCAGCGGCAGAGGCAAGTAAAGTGCACAGGAGGCAGTTATGAAATAACCTGCCCACAGGAAAAGTCTCTTCCTAGCCCCTATCAGTTAGTGGTCATCTGATACACTGACGTATGAGGGGTTATATGAGGGTTTATATGCCCTTTCAAACATTGGTTGTCATCCCCACACCACTTTCAAGCCTCACTAGTGTAACTGTAGCTGATCTCATTATCTGTGTAAATGTCTGAGCAGTTTGAATCCTGCTATCTTTTCACCTCAACAATCTCTTGTGACAAGGAGTTCCACAGGCTAACTGCATGAAAAAGAATGAGACATCTCTAATAAAAGGCAAGATTGGGGAGGGTTTTTGGACCAGTGCTGGTTCTGATGTGACTTGGAGCCGACAATACCTCATTGATTGCAAAAACAAACTAAAATCCTCCTTTTCCGTTCCCACCCCCCCCAAAAACTCCAAACAAACAAGGAAGCCCTCAACATCCTCCACCCCCACATCCACCATAAATGATTTTTCTGCCTTCACCCATTGGGATAAATATTTGATAGATTCCCAATTTGAACCTGAAGCAGTTTATTTGGCTGCTGTTCACAAGTCAGGCACAGCAAAAATCAAGGAAATCTAGTTTGATTCAGGTTGGGTAAGATTGCCTCTGGGGTAACATCATTTTCATATCACACATCCAGCACTGGCACAAAACAGCATGGACAGCTATGAAAAATGGACCATGGAATCTCAGTACTTAAATTCCAGGTGATATTTTTCATTTCTTATGTAAATAAAATCAAATAAAATTAAAAGCACCATTTGCAAAAGAGAACACAAAACGAAAAATGTTTCTGTGTTTGATCAAGCAAAATCCCTTTGCAGTTCTACCAAGAAAGAGAGTTAAAACAAAGAGAGCTGTTAAATAAAAGATTCAGGTACCAAAGAGCAAAATTTAATGAAAGCCGAAACTGTTAAATATGGATTCCTGTTGAGAAAAAATGTCAATGTCTTTAAGAGTTTTCCCATTATTCTATTTTTAAGAAAAGTGTAGTAAAAATACATATTACAAGTTAACATTTTTTCCCACGCTTTTGTCTCATTCCTTTTTTCACCCCTCCATTGATCAAAAGCATTCTAAGATTGAGTCTCCTGTCTTGTTTTCACAGGCATTCAGTCCTATCACAGAAAGTTTGTTCCTACAGGGCCATCTAACTGGCTGTTTCAATTGTTGGACAGAGCTTCTTTGATTCCCTACCACAAAGGCAGCGGGGTCTTTGAAGGTTGATGGGGCTTATTTCCAATTCCACAGGAAAGGGAATCTCTGCAACCTGCTCTCAGTGCAATTTCAGGTGGCGAAATAACTGGGTTATGAAAGGTCTTGGGACAAGAAAAGAATCAGGCAGCAGACTTTCCCAGAAGAGCTCTGGGACAGAAGCAGGAAAGCATCCTCGATGCCTGCTCCACTCCTGCACGTATACAGAACTGAAGTAAAAAAAAAAAAAAGGTGGATAATAATAATAATAATAATAATAATAAGCGCAGAGATGGTGCCCTTGAAGAGTTATTCTGAGTGGCTGATGAAAGTGCTTGTCTGGATGAAAGATGGAGACTACAAGGGTTTCCATTGGCAGGGAGAGAACACGCAAGGGCACAAGACATGCTGTGCCCTAGTTAGGATCCTTGAGTTTTTGACTTGCCAGTCTCGCGAGGGTGACCCTAGGAGGAGCAGAGGCAGAGACAATAGATGGGTAGCAAACAGCTAAATGGTAAAGAACAGTTCAGAGCAGGTCAGTCGTTAAAGGTTGCTGACATACAGCACCGCACCATGAATCATGCGCTCAAGGGAACTGGTTTTCAGCCAGTCGTGCTTATGAAAAACCACGCGGGGAAATCTTCACCACAGACCTGCTCAAGTTATTTGCCTGTCACTTTCTCATCAAACTCTCTCTCCTTCACCTGTTCTCCCCACGCCCCCAGTTTCTCCACTTGCCACGTTGCAGTCTCTGTTACTTTACACATAAAAGCTGCCCATGAGCCTCTGGTGGCAGCCCCTTGTCACTGTGCAGGATTTGCACTGGCTTTTGGAAGAAGCTTCAACCTCTTAAAAAGTCTGAAGTGACTGTTCAGACACAAGTGGTGGAAGTGTGGGGAGAAGAATGGAGTAGGAAGGGTCACTGTTTGACAGA